CGGCGACGCGACGCGACGAGAGCGGCGGCGGAGGCAGGAGGGGCAGGAATGCGGATGTTCTCCAAGGCCTGCTCGCTCGTCGTCTCCTCCCTCCCGCGCTGCTCCTCCTCCGCCCCCGCGGTACGGCCTTCCTCCCCCTCTCCCCTCAACCTTCGATTTCTGCGGGGGTTCTCTGTGTCGGCCTGGATCTGGGCCGGGGGCTCGCGCACGTCCGCCGGGGACGCGCTCGATCGCCGCGGCACGCTGCAACAACCGCCTCGGCGTTAACGAACGGAGGAGGAGCGGGACTCGTGGCGCTTTTGCGATCCGGCCCCTCGGTTCCCTCGTTATCGCCGAGACTGTCCCGTGGTTCCCCTGTTTCTACCTAACTTCGTTGGTTTAATTTATTTATTATGCGGGCATGTGCTGTATGATAGGCGCCGCGCGGCGGGGGGTTGGTGTGGGCGATCTGGCTGGCCGATTTTGTGTGATTTGGTTCTCTGCTGCGGATTGCCAGGTCTGAGAAAACTGCTGGATGTGTTGTTTTTGCAGATTAGGGGGCAGCCGTCGTTGATACCGAGGGTGAGCAGGAAATGGCTCGGGAAGCCGCTCATGTACGGGATCGGCACGCTGCTGGTCATGCCCCTGAGGACCATCCACGGGGTGGGCCGGATGTTCGGCGCCGCGCGGTACCTCTGCAACATGACCAGCGTCTCCTCGTCGCTGCAAATCGAGCTCGTGAGTGCACTGGAACTCTTTGAGAGGGTTTAGTTCAATCCCTACATCCCATTTCAGTCAACTGCTACTGAAACTTAGTGCAACTGCTGTAGATGTTTGCCTGTAAATGTAACTTGTGTTCGCTGCATTGACTTGGGCGCATACAGCAGTGAAATATAAGTTGGGCTGGTTTGGTTTGCTTTAGGAGGCAATTCAAACAGTCAAAAGTTGTTTATTGAGGGGGACTAGTCATAACCATTTCTGATGAGTTTCTCACAACCACGTGCTGTTGCTAGCAGCATTGCTTTCGGAGAGAAATTATGGTCCATTCTCAATAGGAAATGGTTCATGTCTCTGAAAAAAGCTTCCCCATATTCTTCTTCCACTCCATCACTTATTGCTTTATTCTGCTTCATTTTACTATCTTGTTGCTCTGTACCCCTTTACCTAACTACCACGATATATCTTCGCCACGTTAGACTGCATCTTTGTTGCCAAACCTTATCGAGTGTACTATGGTGGGCCAGATGGTGTGCACTTCTCTTTAGTTTGTTCTTGACCCTTCATGTTTGCAGTTTCTTTCAGACACCGGATCTTTATGGTAATATCTGAACAGCATTACTTGTATTTCTCCAAGACATAACAATTCTTCATACATACATGCCTTTTCCTTTTAAGAGGGAATAGCATGAGACCATGAGTGCGTGACTTACACATTTTATTGTTTGTCACAAACAAGTAGATTGTAGATTGCTGTCTTACTGAACAAAAAAAGTCTGATGTCATTGCATTTTATGTATCCTATTTTCTGTGGATGTTTTTTGCTTGTTATTCATACTCTTGAATTTCATTCTGTTGTTTCTTAACTATGATCTGCATCCTGTGTAGGTTCCCTGTCTTCAAGATAACTATGCATACATCTTGCATGATGTGGATACTGGAACAGTTGGAGTTGTAGACCCTTCTGAGGCGGTGCCTATCATAAACGCATTGGAAAAGAGAAACCAGAACTTGACCTACATATTGAACACCCATCATCACTATGATCATACTGGTGGCAACTTGGAACTGAAGGCAAAATATGGTGCAAAGGTATACAGTTGACTGCCTCCTTTGTTGTTTCTGTCATCCTTTTTATTGTTTAGAGACTGTGTGAAGCCATCAAAATGTGTACTCTTATGATATAAAATGAAGCGGAATCAGATATTGTTTCATCAACATTTTGCTGTACCAGATATTATTGGCATTCCTAGCAACAATATATATGTCAAATTTAGGCAGCCAGGGTTGAATTTTACAATGAAGCCAGAAGTTCAGTTCTTGAAATGGCTTGTCATTGACCTTGAGTATAAATTGTTTTTAAAGTAGTAAATACTATAATATATGATGATTCTTTAGATTAATAGATGGAACTGATTGGCACAAGTTTATTTTCTAGCTTGCCATTATGTGTCCGCTGGATGCCCCTGTCACCGCAAACATCATAGATCAAGAGAGGAATAATGATATCTTCTGTTTTTCTTCTCTAACATTAATATTTATACTAGGTAATTGGTTCTGAGAAGGATAAAGATCGAATTCCTGGCATTGACATAACTCTAAGCGAGGGTGACACATGGATGTTTGCGGGTCATCAAGTTCTTGTGATGGAAACTCCTGGTCATACATCAGGTGTGTAACTGCAAATTTCATTGTGTTGTATTGGGTTAGCTTTACAGGTGGCTAGTGAAGATTGTTTACACCCTGGTCCATTTGCACTTGGTTATTTTTTTTCTTTCAAAAATTGCAATAAAAAGTTCTCAGAAAATTCTGGAGAACTCATATATGCGCCTTGTGGGATGAAATGTGAACCTGTCAATTTCGTGCCAAAGACTACCACTTGTGTGCTGAGCAAGAGAAATAAGACAGGAAGGTCCAAAATAGCAGCCCTGACAGTACACAGTTTCTTTTTTCTGCTGTGAACAGTAATATTGGTGATTTAAAATTTGCAGTTTCAAGTATCATTCAACATTACATATATCTTTTATTTTTTGTTATTGAAACTTAGAAATGTGATTTATTGGCCCAAGTTCATATGCATCTGGGGTCATCTGATGATGTCGCCACTAGGAGTACCACTTGAAAAAACTAGGAGTACCACTTAAAAAACTAGGAGTACCACTTAAAATTTAAATTTTCTCATGACATTCTAAATTTCTTTCCTTACCTTCTCTCGTGCTCATGTAATATCATCTACCGTTTTACTTGGTTGATGTTTTATCAGAGTCCAGAAGTAGTGATGCTGCCCTTTATGGAGCATATTTGGAGCTATTAAAGTTTTTCGTAGTTGTTATGACATGTGTTCTGTTGTTTTCCTGGACATGCATATTATGTTCGTTTACAGAATAATTTTCTAATGTGACATAGTTTTCAAGAAATTCATCCATTCCCCTTGTATTTCTATCAGGTCATGTGAGCTTTTATTTCCCTGGATCTGGAGCAATATTTACAGGTGATACCTTGTTTAGTCTATCATGTGGAAAGCTTTTTGAGGGGACTCCAGAACAGGTCAGATATCTTTGTATACATGTATGATGTATACTCTGTAATCGTTCAAATGCTCATATGTTATGCTCTTTGAGTTTCTTCTACTTCCATGTGCTTTCTGATTTCCCTAGATGTCTGTAATAAAGCTGCTTCCTTGCCAGTGTTTTTTTGCTTTCGAATAAAAGGAACTTACGGCTAAAGAACTCCTAATTGAGACTAATAAGCATCTGGTTAGAGATTCAGAATTTTGAATATAAACTGAACTTCTAGAACCATGACTAATGAAAGAGGTTTAAAAAGATCTATGAATAGTACTCCCTCCGTTTTTATTTAGTCCGCGTATTAGCTTTGGTCAAAGTCAAGCTTTGTAAACTTTGACAAAGCTTATAAACAAAAATATTAACATATACAATAACAAATCAATACCATTAGATTCATTATTGAATGTATTTTCACATCATATAGATTTCTTATTTTAAATGTTTATATTTTTTTCTATAATCTTGGTCAAACTTTACAAAGTTTGACTTTAGTCAAACCTAATATGCAGAGTAAATAAAAACGGAGGGAGTAATAGCATGTGCGAGTTTGCTACACTGAATATTGTTGCACTTCCATTTATTTGAACAAACGAGGAATAGTTAAATCAAATCTAACTGCTCACGCCTTGCATTGGAATCAGTTATCGCTAAAAAGGTGAATGGTTGCGGGCTTGTGGTAGTTTTTTTGTTTGCAAGTGGCTTGCTCCATTTTTGTTTTCATAGAAGTGTACCTAATGGAGTTCATTATATGCATCATTGAGACCCATGTATATCACCTTTTTTTCTGACCTTCCTGCAGATGCACTCTTCACTCCAAAAAATTGTAGCTCTTCCAGATGTGACGAAGGTGTACTGTGGACATGAGTATACTCTGGTGAATGATATTTCCTTTCAAATCTAGCAATTTCTTGCACCAGCTTGTTATTTAATTCTGAATGTACCTCTTCACAGAGCAATTCAAGGTTTGCCTTGAGCATAGAACCAGGAAATGAAGAACTTCAGGAATACGCTGCAAGTACAGCTGATCTGCGCAATAAGAATACACCAACGGTAACATAGTTTCTAAAGCCATATGCATTCCTAACTTTCAATACACATCAGTTTGTGCATTTGCTATTTCTTCTACTTCCGTATTCTTCTGCTGCTTATTCATGAATTTGTTAGTTTAGTTTTAGAATGAGAGATGGCGACATGTTTGGTGAATTGAATAAACATGGAGATTTAGGGAGCAACTCTCTGTTTGGCAGTTGGTGCATGTGCATCTGTCCTTGCTTCCATGAGAAGTTGGGAACAGTCATGCTTACTTAACCTCTTGGCCGCTCCGATGTCTTTCTTGGGCTAGGAAAAAAAACTGGGATATTTTGGTGTCTGCTTTATAAAGAAAATAAAATTGTTTTATTGTTTTTTGCACTTTCCCAGCTAATTGTTCTTTTCTTTCTGTTGACGTCCAAGAGAATACGATCTGAATACAAGGCACGCAGTTCAAACATTAGGTCATTTTGTATCTCTCACAATTTAGATGCTTATTGACATAAATAATAAGCACGATGTGGTATAAATCACAGTTTCAGATTGCATGGTGTACAATTCATCACAGGAATGGGTTTGTTCAACAATGCTTAACTTTCTAAAATTTCTGTGCTTCATGTTCTTCTCCAGGTGCCAACAACAATTGCGAGAGAGAAGCAGTGCAATCCTTTCTTGAGGACCTCAAGTCCAGAGATAAAGAAAAGGCTGTCCATTCCAGATCATTTCGATGATGCACGTGTTCTTGAAGTTATCCGACGGGCGAAGGATAATTTTTGACTAACCACAAAAGAAATTATCATAAAATGATGACCCAACCATCTCTTCGAAAAGGAGAAGTGGACAAAGAACCCGGCAAGACCACAACAGAAGGAACGCAGGGAAGGAAATGTGTATAGCTCGATGTTCCAAAAATGCTTTGGTGAAAATTTGTCTAGCATTGTATGTAGCTTGCGCAGAGTGCTTGTTAATCTGATAGCAGCTGGTGATTCTTTTTGTCGACTACAAATAAAATGTGTCAGTGTAATCCTCTATCCTGGGAGAGAAAAAGCTAGTTAGCTGTTTGATAGTGTTCTTCAGTTCTTGTTTCCTCATTGTCTTGCCGGTTATCATTGTTTTCGTCATCTGGTGATAGATTTTACGCTGGAGAACATTTGAACAATGTGCCGATCTGTACTCCCTCCGTTCCAAAATATAAGTCTTTTAAAAGATTCCACCAAGGACTACATACGGATGTATATAGACATACTTTAGAGTGTAGATTCACTCATTTTGCTCTGAATGTAATCTATGGTGAAATCTCTAAAAAGACGTATACTCTCTCCGTTTCAAAATAGATGACCCAACTTTGTACAAAGTTAGTATAAAATTGGGTCATCTATTTTGGAACGGAGGGAGTAGATCACAGTGGATCATCCGACTGTAAAGGTTAGAGCAGTAATCTTCTCCTTGATGGCATAAATATCAGACATGGATTTGACGTCACACATTGGAGATCGGTGCTCGGTCATCAATCCTGCTTGGTGAATGCGATGCATAACCGGAAGAGAAAGCATAAGGACAAGTGTGATGAGTCTTTCCTTTTTGAAGCTTGTGTGTCAATCTGAATGGCTTTTATATTGTTATATGATATTACTAGTACTGTTGACGCGTCATATATAAAAGGTGAAAACGCCTTCCACCGACTGAAACCCAATTTCCGGACCCATGTTAATAATTGAGTGACGAAATCGCCTGGTTTACTGTCAACCAGAGGGATGGATTTATTAGCACTGTTCTACCTGGAGCAACTCTAGCATATTACCTAAATCACATATCCTTTTACAAAACAGCTACTCCCTCCACTCCCTAAATAAGGCCATTTCATATTTTTATATCTCACTTTGATCATTAATTCCACCACCAAAAAAGGTGAGTCTTATGTCACAAAAAAGTACGTCATTGGATGCACATTTCATAGAACTTTCTGACGATATTTTTTTTTGACATATAATTCATATTTTGTCGACTAAAATTATAAGTCAAAGTTTGACACGGAACAAAAGTGGCCTTGTATAAGGGAACGGAAGGAGTATTATAAATAAATCTGGTTAAAATCCCAATCTAGCAGATGTCTTATATCTCTCGTCCCGGAATTTTGTAACGGGCACATAATAAGCATGCCTTTAGTCTTTGTATTTTGATTTAGTCCTTGTTCTCGATGTCGCTGCACCTCGCTGCCGCATGTTAGGAGCTCCCATCCGACACCCACCGTGTTGTGCCATGCAAGCTTTGCTATGGACATGCCTCCGACGTCGTTCCTCCTTTCCCCGACATGCTAGACACTGTTGCCATGCATCAACCGCCCTTTGTCGGTAATTCCTCCTTCCACGACGTCTAGTTCCTTCTCATTTGTGTCTTCCTTCCTCTAGGTGCCGAGCTCCAGACATCTTTCCTGCCCCACGCGGCCCATGTCCCCCCCCCCCCTCGACGGGTTGATGGATGTCTTCTAACTTCCCCTTGCCTATTGAGTGGCGACGAGGTTGCTTTAAGGTACATTTGGTTTGAATTTGTGCATATTTGGTTGCTAGATTTATGTAGAGTGGTGTAGATGACATATGATTCACAATTTGTATAGATGAGGTCGATTAGCTCGATGGGAGAGGAGTTCTTTTTATGATTATTCATCCTCAGATGATTTCAATGTTGATTTCCTCGAAGATAACGATTAGGAGAAGATTGTGTTGATGCTAGCGCAGCGGGCTACTATCTAGCTAATGACATATATCCTTCTTGGTAAAACATTTGTAAAGACAATTATGAACACCCAAGGTAAGAAGAGATGCCACTCTCAAGAAGCAGGAAGGACACTGAAAGAGCATTTGGCGTGCTGCAAACTCGGTTTGCAATTATTTGAGGATCTGCTTGCTTATGGGGATAAGACCTTGGGAAATATCATGATGGTCAGTGTGATCCTCCATAACATGACCATCAAGGATGAGAGGATTGCACATATGGACTACGAGTATGATTATGTGCGCACCACTGTCAGACCTCACAGGAACCCGAACCGGCTTTAGGTATTCCTTGAGGTGTACCGGAAGATCAAAGAGTCGAGCTTGATGAGGCTCACCCGAGACACAGACAATAAGGCACTCAACGATGATGAATGGCTTACGCCTTCCCATCCTCATGGTTCATTGATCGTCACACACCATGGGTTGCACCAGCAGCATGAGTGATGGTGTTGTGCGGCTAGATTTGATCCATACTATTATACATGTTATCTTAGATCTTGAGTCAGTCTTTCACGTGTAACTTTGATAATTGTTTCTTTATATTTTTATTATGAAAATTAGAAGTATATAAAATAATTTGTGAAAATAAAAACATACTAATTTCAATTCACTAATCTAATAGTTTTATATGTACTAACTGCCCATGTTAGAAATGTTTAAGTGCACACGATCTTCTCAATCTACGCACTTGATTCATTGTCGATATATAATTTGTCAGACCTTAGAGGAGGAACACATCAACACAACGATTTTTAAGTATTTTCTACAAAATTTTGAACCAAGCATTACATCTAAACGTCATGTTTTTCGCTCCACCTATGTTATATTTCAATACACCGAAACCTATATAAAACTAGATAAATATGGAGATGACTCTTCCGCCTAGATAAAAATATAACATGGTCAGCAAAGTTGTTTCTTTAATTTTATTCGCCCTTTAGGCAATAATTTCAATTTCACTAAAAAACTAAATAAATAAATGGAAAACCAACTTCATCATTAGTGGTATTGCAGTTACTTTTTTTCAATTAGTGCCATGTCATGGATCAAATTTCTTACATACAGGCTCATCTTAATCTAATATCTGCTATCATCTGCATATATAACACACTGTACTTATAAGTGAATACTCACCGAAATTCGCTAAATCACTCTGTTCACATCACTCCTGCCATAACATATTTCTAGTTGTGTCCATGGTCTTTGTGTAAAGTTGTATTCTTTAGCACAACTAAACATATTATTACATATTAGACATAGTTCGTCTCTCTTCTAACTAATATTATTTCTGCCATAATACCATGATCCTTGCTTTGGATTATATAGTTGCTCATACACGCCACGCATTAGCATTGATATGCTTATTCTTCTCGCCTAAAGCTATGTTTACCCTCTACTTGATATGTATCTCGGCCGCTTTCGGTCACCATGAATTTGGTTCAACAATGATAACCAGTTCATGAATGCTTCTGCTTATCTCTATTTCCTCATATCGACTATACTATATTATTATACTACCATAACCATGCAAGCAACACATGCATATCGATACATCTCAGGCATTTTATGCGATATTTTTTCTCCAGCCCTACATATTGCATGTACTAAGTACTAATTGACTTGCTATTTTACAATTTTGCCTACCGAAGTGCCTATATCAACCCCTAATAAAAAATTGGTTGATAGTGTTCATAAATGAAATCAATTTGTATGCACCCAATTATAATTGCCTATGTGCTCGACCTGTTGGGGAACGTAGTAATTTCAAAAAATTTCCTACGCACACGCAAGATCATGGTGATGCATAGCAACGAGAGGGGAGAGTGTGATCTACGTACCCTTGTAGACCGACAGCGGAAGCGTTTGGTTGATGTAGTCGTACGTCTCCACGACCCGACCGATCAAGCACCGAAACTACGGCACCTCCGAGTTCTAGCACACGTTCAGCTCGATGACGATCCCCGGACTCCGATCCAGCAAAGTGTCGGGGATGAGTTCCGTCAGCACGACGACGTGGTGACGATCTTGATGCACTACCGTCGCAGGGCTTCGCCTAAGCACCGCTACAATATTATCGAGGATTATGGTGAAAGGGGGCACCGCACACGGCTAAGAATATGATCACGTGGATCAACTTGTGTGTCAAGGGGTGCCCTCTGCCCCCGTATATAAAGGATCAAGGGGAGGAGGCCGGCCGGCCCTCTATGGCGCGCCAAGGAGGAGTCCTCCTCCTAGTAGGAGTAGGACTCCTACTAGGAGGGGGAAAGAAGTAGGGAGGGAGAGGGAAAGGGGGGCGCCGCCCCCCCTCTCCTAGTCCAATTCGGACCAGGGGGGGGGAGGGGGCG